CTCACACACAAATATCCCACACATGCACACACCCAATAACAGAATAAATGACAACAAGACCCAATCTCAATAGATGCAGGAAAAGCACAACACACCCTTTTAGGAGAGAGATACCTAAAGAAGAGAAGGAAGCTTCTCAGTCTGAGACAAGATGTCTACGAAACATGCTTGGCGCACATCAGAGTTAACGGTGAGAGATGAGCAAAGGTACCCAAGCTCAAAGCTTCTGTTTGACATTGTTCTGCAGGTTCTAGCCTGGGCAAGAAAAAGAAACTAACAAGTGTTGGCAGCCTGGGTTGGTGGCCCAAGCCTGTGATGGGAAGGTAGAGGCTGGAAGATCCAACAGCCAAGGTCAGTTCAAAGCTAACCTGCATGAAAGGAGACCTTGTTTGAAAACAAAACAAAACAAAACAAAAACCCAGAAACTCAAGTCAAAACATCACCCCCCCACCACCACCACCAAACAAACATAAACAAAACACAAGCATGCCGGCAACAATGTGCAGAAATCGCAGTCTTTATACAATGCTTCCCTGGAGAGAGGGTGGCTTTGAAAACAGGTCGCAATTCTTTGAGAAGTTGAACACAGAGTTATCATATGAGTCAAATGCCCCGCCCGGAGCACAGACTCAAGAGAACTGAAAACAGCCGCACAGACTGAATGTTCGCAGCAATGTTCTTCAGGGGCAGTCAAAAAGTAGCAACAACTCAAATGCCTGTCATTTACCACAGAGAGACAAACTCTAGTGAAACCACTCAAAGGCATGTTCAGCCCCATGGAAGGGGCAGGAAGGAAACCCTGGCACATCATACAGCATGCGTGACAGAGACGGGATGTTCTGGAGGGCAACCCGCTAAGTGCAATAAGCCATTCGGAGAAGAGCAGATGCCATGAGAGTGCACTCAGGGCAGGTACCTAGAGCAACCACGCTTACACGGCCAGAAAGAACAGCCAGAAGAGGAGAAGGCGGGGGATTGGTTATTGAATGGCTACACAGTTTCTGCAAGAGGGCAAGAGGCCTGGCCCACACAACAAAGCCAGTGTACTTCCCTGAAATGTATACTTCAAAGTAGTGAAGGGGCCAGGCATGGTGGCGGTGGCGCACACCTTTAATCCCAGCACTCAGGAGGCAGAGGCAGGAGGGTCTCGGTGAGTTGAAGGCCAGCCAGGGCTACATAGTGAGACTGTGTCTCAAAGAATAAAACAAAATAAAAAAAATTGGTCGAGAGGCTTGAAGACCCGAGTTTCAGTGGTGGAAGGAGAGAATACTCCACACAGCTACCCTAACCTCCAAACACACACTGCAGTATGCGCGCACCTGCACTAACACACATACATCCTATCGTTCTACTATTTAAATGCTCAGGGTAGGCCGATCTATACAGACAGAAGGTATGTTAGTGGTTGCTTAACACGGGGGGGGGGGGGGGGGGGGGGGGGGGGGGGGACTGGGAAAAGTAGGAGCAATTGCTCCTGGGCATGGGGCTTCTTTTGGGGGTGCTGAGATAGTCTAGAAATAAATGGAGTGGTGGTTGCACATCGTTCAACACATTGCGGGGTCAGCTAGATGGCTCAGCAGGGTCAGAGTGCTTGCAGCTAAACTCGTAAGTGAACCCGGGAGACCACAAGAAGAGAGCTGAGATTGTCCTCTGGCCCCCACCGGAGTGCCATACTACACGGGCCCATCCCTTACAATAAATAAATAAATAAATAAATACATGGGGGGCAGGGGCGGGGGCGGGGAGTCCTGTTGAATCATGTGCTTCAAGCAGGAGGCCCAGAAAAGAACGGAGCCTGTTTCTTGTAAACCGTTGTTACTATTAGGCTGGGACTTTTCCCTCTGGGATGAAGGATGGGAGACCAGGCTGTTACCATGACAGGGAGGGGAGGCGTGCTCTCCACAAACAGGAGTGAGGCTACCTCAAACTGAAGTGCTCAGAGAGTGACTGCAGAAGGGAGGGCGCCCGGTGCCAGAGCCGAGGAGCTTCCGAAACGGTTGAGGAGGCCCAGCACCGTGCAGAAAGCACCGGGAAGCCTTTACTCTCGGGGGCCCACCCAAAGGCTGCTCAGGCCTGACAGCTGGGTTTTTTTTTGAGATGAGGAAGTTCTACACTGTTCAGTCACTTTATAAATCTCTCCTGATTTCTGGGCATTTTAGAGAACCGAATGTGCCTTTTGATTCATTTTTTCCATAACTTAATTACACGCTGGGGCGCTAGGATAGATACGATCTTCAGAACGTTTACTTTCGGAGCACCAGGCTTGATCGTAAAAGAGAGTGCAGAATAGAACAGACCCAGAGAGGGCAGGTGGGAAAGGACAGCGTCCGGCCTCACGGAGGAACGCGGATGAACCCGGAGGATGTTAAGAGAAGGAAAAGGCGCACGATGCCAACTGCAAGGTGCCTGCGGTCAATGACAGAAACCAGCAGGGTAGGTGCCAGCCGCGAAGGAGAGCGGGCAATCACTGCTGGACAGATCTCAGAGTTTTTGCTCTTGCAGGACGGAAGGTTTGCAGGGTTGACGTGCAGACGCTGCTACAGTGCACGGTGAAGGACAGGGGAGATGCCGAGCCCGGAGCTTGGGGCTCATCATCTCAGCACTTGGGAGGTAGAGTTTGAGGCCAGCCTGGGATATTCTGTTTCTGCCACATTTTAAAAAAGATGTCAAGTACAGCCCTGAGTTAAAAGTCTGAGTAATGACTTCACTTGATTGTCATTTTGACTCTGCCGTGGAAAGAATTCTTAAGTGTGATGAACCTGCTGATGTGTTGATCTTTTTAAATAATTTTTTTTTAACTCGTGATGGAGTTATGGAAACAGGCCGCTTGGTTTAATTTTGCGATTGTTTTTACTTCCTGATTCCTGCCTGATTATGCAATTCTGGGGGTTACAAATGGAAAAAAGGGAAAGGCTCGTGTGCCAGCCTGTTGTTTTCATGGTATTGCACTAAAGAGGAATGAGAAATGTTTCCACTTGCATCAAGATTAAAAAAAAAAAATATTTACGTGTGCCTGTGCTTTCCTGAGGTAATGTGCACCAAGTGTGTGCAGGTGCCCCTGGAGGCCAAAGGTCATCAGATGCCCTGAGACTGCAGTTCCAGGTAGCTGTGAGCCACCTGATGTGGCTTCTGGGAACCAAACTCAGATCCTCTGCAAGAACCATGTCTCCAGCTCCCACGCCAAGGTCATTTTTGACAAGGTCTCCCTATGCAATCTGACTGGCCTTCCATAGCCCAGGCAGGACTAGAAGTTGAGTCAATCGATCCTCCTGCCTCAGCCTCTCAGGTTCTGGGATTATAGGTGAATACCACCACACTCAGGTCTATGTGATGCTTCCATAAAAAAAAAAAATTCTCTTTAAGTAGATTTGAATCTGGGGAGGATTCACAACTAGGTAAGATGTCTTCTTTCAGACTTGAGAGTAGATGCTTTCTTACTGTAATTCAGATGCATTATTTGAACCGTTCTTTTTTGATAATTTATTGGTTTATTTTATTTTATTTCATGTGAATTGGTGTTTGGCCTGTATGTCTGTGAGGGCATCAGATCCCCTGGAACTGGAGTTATAGATAGTTGTGAGCCTCCATGTAGGTGCTGGGAATTGAACCCAGGTCATCTGGAAGAACAGCCAGTGCTCTTAACAGCTGAGTCATCTCTCCAGCCCCTGGAACTGATCTTATATATACTTTCCTCTTTCAACAAACCTAAAAGGTCACAGAATCCATCTTGAGTAACACACAAAATCTTGCTGAGATTAAAAAAAAAAATTGTCACATTGACTACACAATGTAACCATTTCCCCAAAGTACTCGATTCAAGACAAATGCAAAAGGATAGGGATTCAGGAGCTGGCAGAAGGTGAACTCTGGGGACAGTCACTCACAGTTTCCTACACACACCCTGTGACTTCTGAGTTATCATCTCCACCTTTGAACGATAACCATCTACACATTGCTGAGTGTCTTAAAGACACAGTAAGAGCCGTGTTCTGTAAACTTCCTCCTAAGCCTAGTGGGTATTCCAGTGATTTACACATATTTTTAAGATACTTTAGCTGGGCGGTGGTGGCACACGCCTGGTCTACAGAGCGAGTTCCAGGACAGGCTCCAAAGCTATACAGAGAAACCCGGTCTCACCCCCCCCCCCCAAAAAAAGATATTTTATTTTTAGCTATATGTATGTTCACATGTCTGCATGGGCACATGTGTGCAGGTGTCTGCAGAGGCCAGAAGAGGGCACAGGATCTTTCAGCCCTGGAGTTATAACAAAGTTGTGAGCAACCTGATGTGGGTGCTGGGAACCAAACTTGGTTCCTCTGCAGAGCGATACGGGCCCTTAACCATTGAACCATCCCTCCAGCCCCAGATTTATATATTCTTGGATACTAAGAGCCAGTTACTAAGAGTTCAAAGTTCGCCGGGCGGTGGTGGCGCGCGCCTTTAATCCCAGCACTCGGGAGGCAGAGGCCAGCCTGGGCTACCAAGTGAGTTCCAGGAAAGGCGCAAAGCTACACAGAGAAACCCTGTCTCGAAAAACCAAAAAAAAAGAAGAAAAGAGTTCAAAGTTCACAGGACTATCACAGCGGTTCTCAACCTGTGATTCAAGACCCCTTGGGGGGAGGGGATCGAATGACCATTTCACGGGGGTAACCTAAGATCATCGGAAAACACAGATATTTACATTACAATTCATAACAGTAGCAGATCATAGTTATCAAGTGGCAATAAAATAATTTTATGGTTGGGGGTCACCACAAGATGGGGACCCATATTTAAAGATCTGCAGCATTACAAAAGTTGAGGACCACTGCTCTATCAATTTTTACCACAGTGACAATCATAGTCTCTTCAATTTGTTTTCTGGTAAGTTTTGTGGTAAGATCACTGGCTGCCTCTTTATGGAAGCAGGTAGGTATGTGTTTCCATGCAGGATGTAAACTCCCTATAAAGACCAGGGGTTGACTGGGCTGGGGCTGTAGCTCAGGTGACAGAGTGCTTACCTAGCATGCAGGAAGTCCCAGGTCGCATCTCCAGCACCACGGAAACCAGGTATGGTGATCAACATGCCTGTCATCTAAGCACTCGGGAGGCAGAGGAAAGAGGAACGGCTGAAGGTCTCAGTGGGTTCAAGGCTACATCCGAGTGCCCCAGCTACCTGGAAAAAAGAAAAAAGACTAGAGATGATTTGTTGTTGTTGTTTGGGATTTTTTTTTTTTTTTTTTTTGAGACAGGGTCTGTTTAGCCTTGGCTGTCCTGGAACTCACTCTGTAGACCAGGCTGACCCTGAACTCACAGAGATCCACCTGCCTCTGCCTCCCAAGTGCTGGGATTAAAGGCATGCACCACCACCACTGCCTGGTCCTAGAGATGATTATTTTTTTAAATTTATTTTTATTTTATGTGAATGGGTGTTTTAGCCATGGGTGTCAGATCCCCTGGAACTGGAATTAGAGCTGCCATGAGGGTGCTTGAAAATTGAACCCAGGTCCTCTGGAAGAGCAGCCAGTGCTCTTAACCACTGAGCCGAGATGATTATTTTTAATTATAAAGCTACCTTACATTTTCCATCAGGCGAGCCAAGAAACTGCTTGGTAGGGGGTGGTACACAGGAAGATGTCACTGACCGGGGCCGGGGTAGGAACTGCATTCAGCTACGCGGGAATAGTGAGTTTGCTTGGACAGGGCTCCCAGCATCACACGCTCCCTGCTTCAATCCTGTCAGTGACTGTTCGGTCAAAGACACAACGAAGGCATTTGCTCAAGAAGGCTGTGTCCGGCCGGGTGGCGGCGGTGGTGGCGCACGCCTTTAATCCCAGCACTCGGGAGGCAGAGCCAGGTGGATCTTTGTGAGTTCGAGGCCAGCCTGGTCTACTGAGCGAGATCCAGGAAAGGCACAAAGCTACACTGAGAAACCCTGTCTCGAAAAACAAAACAAAACAAAACATTTTACCAATATTTGTTGACCAAAGTGGCCCATCTGCCTCTGCAGGCCCAGGGACTCAATTCTGCTTTTGATGTCCTTATAACTCAAGAGGAGGGTCAAGACAAGGAAACGCAGTCACCGCCCGGGCCGGGACTTGGAATGGCTGAGCTGCTCACACTTGTTGATTGTTTCCTAGGTTACAGCAGAACTGGATGACCCAGTCCTGGCTCACACGTCTACTGTTCTGCACTTCTGTGTGTGTAGATGACAGTGATGACTGTCTATGATGGTCACACGTGGACAACACCCCACAGGGAGCATGTGGTGAGGTACAGAGTCCTCTGTCTTCCATGTACTCACAGGTCCCAGCGCCACCCCCTCAAGGGACCTACTGGCTCCCAGGAAATCTCATCCAGTTTGAGACCTGGGAGTGAAGGACAGTGTCAGGAAAGGTGAAAGCTTTTTCCAGGAGCCGACCTCAAAAGCTTGGCAGAGGGAGCTGAGCCCATTGAATATTTATGGAGCGCCCTGATTAGAAGAGCTCACCAAGTAGCTCAATTGTGATCTTTTTTTTCTCCCTTTGGTGCTTGGGATCAAATTTAGGGCCTCACACATGCTAAGCACGTGTGACCACTGGCAGCTATACCTCAGCCTGTTAGCTTTATTATAAAGAATACATTTAGAAAAACAATACCTCTACCTACTTTCATTATTTATTAAAGATGAATTTCCTAGAAAGAATCCTGGGAGCAAAGCCGCAGATAATGAGGATCTCTGAGTGAGATTATAAGATGGTTTATTTGTTTTTTTTGAGACAGGGTCTCACTGTGTCGCCCTGGCTGGCTACGTAGACTAGGCTGGCATCTAGCTCTTGAGAGCTAGGATTAAAGGCATGCATTATCACACTTGGCTAATCACAAATTCTTTAAACCTGTGATACTAACAAAGATACTGTATCATTAACACACCTTGCCGAGGCAGGCTGACAGCAAAGGAGGCATTGTTGTATTCGGTTGATGGAAATGCAAATTGGTACCAGTTTCTGAGCGGCAATTTGGCCCTATTTATTATTATTTGTTTATTATTTTTGAGGCAGGATGCCCCTTTCAAAATATTTTTATTAGTTCTTTGAGAACTGCGATCCTGTTTTGATCATATTACCCCTCCCCCAACCCTACCCAGCTCCACCTCCCCTTCCCTTCCCATCCCAACAGGATGCTCTGGAACCTGTGTCCGATCCACCAGCCTCACCTCTCGATTATAGGCGTGAACCACCATGCTCAATTTCTGTTAGAACTGTATTCGTTTTGAATTTTAATTTGGTGTGTGTGTGCGCGTGCGCGTGTGCGTGTGCGTGTGTGTGTGTGTGTGTGTGTGTACATACATGCCGTGACACAGTGTGGCAATCAGAAGACAACTTTGAAGAGTCATTCTCTCCCATAGTGTCATTGGTTGTCCTAATCCAACTCAGGTTGCCAGGCTTGTATGGCAAACAATTTTTACACACTCAAGCCATGTGGCTGGCTCAGGCTTTGTTTTTTAGGATTTTGTTATTGTTTTTTTGTTTTTGTTTTTTTGTTTTTTGACACAGGGTTTCTCTGTGTAGCCCTGGCTGTCCTAGAACTCGCTCTATAGATGAGGCTGGCCTCAAACTCACAGAGATCCTTCTGCTTCTGCCTCCAGAGTGCCGGGATAAAAGGCATGTGCCACCATACCTGGCGTATGGCCCAACTTTTTCTTATTAAATAAAATATTCTTTGCTGTCTGGACTTTGTCACACAGAACATGCATTTTCAAGTTTCATTCACCTCACAGGACTCACCCTTGAAAGCGGTTGTTAATGTGCACACGTGTTGTGTGGTCTTCAGCACACCCAGAGCTACACAGGCATCCTCGGGGATTCTGTTCCTTTGTGGGGGGGGCGTTGGTTTATTGTTTTTGAGACATGGTCTTGCCACGTAGCCCACACCGGTCTCAACTTGCTAGTCCGTCTGTCTCAGGCTCCCCAGCACCGGGCTTACAGGTACACACCACCATATATGGCTTCTATGTTTTTAAAAATAGAAAACGTTTCTGAGAGATGGTCCAAAGCTACTTAGTAACTGTAAGAAGCTGTATACGTGGGAGATGATTGGGGAAGTTTGAATAAGAATCATCTGATACCCATGAACAGGGAGCAAAAAACACAAGAGTAAACAATAACAACAACAAAAACCACCACCACCACCACAAGATGCCCTGACTGGGAGATCACCCCACAAACATGAGGTCCAGAGTCTGGCCTGCAGCACTCATGTAAATAGCCGGGCGGGCATGGGGGTACACACTTGTAAAGTCAGCACCTGGGGACTGGGAGGCAGATCCTTGGGGCCTGCCAGCCAGTCAGCCTAGCCTGAAAATGGGGAATCGAAGGTCCCACCAAGAAACCCCTATCTCAGCCGGGCGGTGGTGGCGCACGCCTTCAATCCCGGCACTTGGGGAGGTAGAGGCAGTCGGATCTCTGTGAGTTCAAGGCCAGCCTGCCTGGTCTACAGAGTGAGTTCCAGGACAGCCAAGGCTGTTACATGGAGAAACCCTGTCTCAACCCTCCCCCACCACAAAAAGAAACCCCTACCTCAAAAAATAAGGTACCAGCACTCGGGAGGCAGAGGCAGGCGGATCTCTGTGAGTTCGAGGCCAGCCTGGTCTACAGAGCGAGATCCAGGAAAGGCGCAAAGCTACACAGAGAAACCCTGTTTCGAAAAACCAAAAAAAAAAAAAAAAATAAGGTAGATGGTACCCGAGGAGATATCCAAGGTTGACTTCCAGCCTCAACTCAGATGCAGAGGAGCAGGTACACTTAACACTCATGTGTACCCGCCCCCCACACACATGACCACGCCTGTATCCACCCAAACAAAGAAAAAAGATGGAAAGGGCCAAAAAAAAAAAAAAATAAGATTTTTAAATGAACAAGCTATGTCTGCCTCCTTAAATAAACAAATGTGAACTTTGTATCGAAAGATTGAGATCAGATATACAGGCATGATGAGGAAAAGAAAAAGAAACATTTGGGCTGTAGAAATAGCACGTGCTGTTCTTCCAGAGGACCTGGTTCTGGCTCCCAGCACCCAGTCACGGCTCACAACCATTCAACACCCTCTTCTGACCTCTGAAGGCACCACCAGACACACGCATGATGCAGGTAAAACACTCATACACATAAAACAAAACACATGAATCTAAAAGAAAGTTTTAGAAACCATTGATTAGGCAGGGCTTTGAATGTTTAGGTGAACCAGATTCTCCATCAGTCTGCGGACGACTGGGTGGGTTCCATCTCTGGGAGACGCAGATTAAGAGTTGAGAGATACACGCTAATCCCCGCTTTCTCAGATCTCCCATTGGGAGAAGGGTGACAGAGAGGGAGGGGCTTATTCTCAAGCAACAAGTACTTGTTGAAGACTGAGAACACCTACTTGGCCAAGAGAATCTGAAAACAGGAGAGCTGGAGAAAAGGGCTCTGGAAACGAACAAACTTCACAAGCGTAAACCACCCGGGGGATGTTCTAAGTTTTAGGCTTAAAGTTGTGTGTTTTTGTTGATTTCATTCCTGGGGATGGAACCCAGGCCCTGCGTATGCAGAACAAGCACCCCACCTGTGAGCCACATTCTCAGCCCTGTGTTCGTTTTTTTTTTGGAGAAAGGATGAGAAGGACTGGGGATGTGGCTCACCCTGTAGAGCACTTGCTTAGCAGATGTGAGGCCCCGGGTTGGGTGAGAAAATATATATTTTTGAAAACAATGTTTTCTGAAAACTTTTGGCAAATTCACATTTTTCTTACTGAAGATTAAATTTCACCCTTTCTCTGGGGGCATTCTCTTTATGAAAATTTTCCTTTAAGCACTCCAGATCTTGGGAACATTTTGTAGACCATCTCTTTATTTTCTTTTCCATATTGCTAAAATCACAGTTCAAAAGTTATGCAACCGGAGGAGTCTCTCGAACCAGGACAAGCAAACTTCACTGCTCACCCTGTACAAATCAATCAGCTTGGGCACCCCGAGCCTTTATTTGCTTAATCGGGTCAGTGAAGTGACTTCAGCAACTGCCCCGGTTCAACATCAATACAATAATGGAAATGTACACAGGGCTGCCACCATGTAGAGCCTGTTTTTATAAAAGAGTGAAGGATTAAAGAAATGTTTTCAGCTTTTGGGTTAGGAAATTACCAAGTAATGCTGGCGTAACCATCTGTAATAATTAAACATTTTGGATGAGTCCATCATCAGACGGCAGGCGTCATCTTTAAAAATATCTTAGTTATGAATTTTGTGTTGACTTTATATCCGGTCGAGATCATTTACCTTGTGGCTAACAATTGACGTAAAGCTTGATTCCCAAAGCAAACAACAAGGAATTGCTGAGCACAAGTTATCCTTAAAGTATTACAGTGTGGTGCCTTTATTTCCACGTGTGGTAAGGGTGTACACAGCATCTTAGTGGAAATGAATGTGTGTGCTAGAGACTGTTGTTCACAACAAAACCGTCTCTGTAAATGCTCTGCTTGCCTGTATCACATTGGGAAACCATATGAAAACAGAAGATGATACTATCCCTGGTGATCTGCTAAGTACGATAAAACAATAATCAAACCGTAATTCTCCCCCCCCCCCCCCCCCCCCCCCCCCCCGAGCTGAGGACCGAACCCAGGGCCTTGCGCTTGCTAGGCAGGCGTTCTACCACTGAGCTAAATCCCCAACCCCCAAATCATAATTCTTATTTGCTTAAAAGTACATATGTCGTATCAACAAGGCTGTCTACATCATGCAATAAAACCATGATGGAGCGGGGGGGGGGGGGGGGGGGGGGGGGGGGGGGGGGGGGTCGGGGGTCGGGGGTCGGGGGTCGGGGGGGGGTCGGGGGGGGGGGTTGCTGGAGAAATGGCTCCGTGGCTAAGAGCACTGACTGCTCTTGTGGAGGACCCGGGTTCACTTCCCAGCGCCCACATGCAGGTTTACAGTCCCCAGTACCAGGGGATCCAACAATCTCATCTGACCACTGTAGGCACCAGACACGGATGCGATACACAGACACACATGCATGCAAAATACTAAAACACATAACATAAAAAAATGATTAAATCTAAAAAAAAAATTTTAAAGGCCACGACAACAAACTAAAAACGGAATTGCCTTTGGAATATGCAAAATAGCATCTGAAAGGATGTCACCATCATGACGGCATACACCACCCACCTCCACGGTGAAGGTACAGCTAACTTTGGCATTCAGGCTGGAGGTTGGACCAGTAGGACTTCTACCGTCATCTGGGACAGGTGGTACCAACCTTAGAAGGGAACACTGGTACCGCCCAAATCTTCTTTTAGACCTCACATCAAGGTGCAGTGAACTCTGGCTTCAAACCAAATTTTGAATGCCAAGAAGCAAAGGCAAAGGGTTAAGGTTGTCTGTCTTTCATTTCTTAGAAAAAGCTAAAATATTTTAAAAACCAAGGACAGCTCAATTTAGATTACAGAAAAGCTCTCTGATGAGAAGCGAATGTGCTCCTGACTGTATTTTGAAGTAGATGGTTAGAAAGCTAATATAGAGTTTGTGGCTAAATATAGCCCTCCTTTAAAGGCAGAACATATTGCTGGGGGGAAATGTCCTCCATCCCAGGACTTATGGCACGGCGTAACTAAAATGTTTTTCCATTCGGTGAATTTGCTGTGTTGGGGAGTATCGTTCAGTAGACCCAGAGCAAAGTCCAAAATTGGAAAAGCAGCTGAGCCCAAGGTCATCTCTCTTGTTTCCAAATATATCTTGAAACAAATGTAAGAGGGCACTTTGCTGAGTGTTATCTGGACATATATAGTTTCAATCAAATTCTTCAAGAAGTGTCAGAATAAAAGCTGAACATTTGTTTGACATGGCCAAGTTCCTGGCAAGTGGTCGTCTTGATGGCTGAGGCTCTCCCTGGCAACTTGTGGCAACTGTTCCAACGAAAACTCTCCTGGCTCTCAAGGGAAAGAAATCAAGCACTGTGAAACACCAGCTTTGATGTTGTTTTTTTTTTTAAAAAAAAAAAACCACAGGAAATCATAGAAACTTATAAAAATTTCTCCCAACAAAAATATCCCTTTAGGATATTTTGTTCCTCAGCTAAATTCTTTAGAATTATCAAATCTTTTTTTCACAAATCCAAAACTGTTACATATAATTTTTTTTTTGTTAAGTGTAGATGATACCTCCTTAAAGGCTGGATCTTTGTCTGGCTATGAAATTATCCCCCAATATAATAAAATGAACTGGCTGGCTGTCTATTGCTCCTCCCCACCCCCAGTAAAGCCCACAGATGGTCGTGTGTTCTCTACATAGTGAACCTCTGTCTCATTTATCCACAGTTCACACAGAAGCTGGACAGTATGGAGAACCAAGACCGTTAGACTCTGACAACTGCTCATGGCCCCAGCAGCACAGAATGTTCACAATCTGCTTTCCAGCAGACCCTCCCTCATCCCCAGAGTCCCTGCTCCTCTCCAAGCCAAATTCTACACATGCTTCCAGATGAGGTGGAAATGCGGGAGTTGCTCCTCATTGGGCCGGTCTAGATCACTCAGCCGAAAGGGCTTTCTTCCTTTTAAATTCTGAATTGGTCCCTTGGAGATCTCAAACCCCTAAAGGATTGCTGCGCCCTCCACACAACATAAAGGAAATAAACTAAGTCATAAAACAAGGGTCTGGAAGGCCAATAGAGTTCTGCTGTTCGTAATAAACTTTGCTATCTTGAAATACTGAAACTTTCAGAAAATCTGGGGTAGTTCTGCTTCTTGGCTGAGCGAGCACTAAAACCACGTCTATTGGTGGTTACGCTGCTCAGATCGATGACTTCATGCTTCTCCAGCTCCTGCGGCCTCACTGGGGCAAGGAGCACCCCAGTACCTTAGCTCCAGCTGGCCTCACTGGCATTATCTTCCTCATCCTCCGGGCCCAAGTCAATTCCCACCTCTCCGATGAAGCCTCCGTGACTTTTCCGTTCATCTTCCGGTCTTTCCTAGATCCCT